GTCACAGAGTTGTCAGGTCACAGAGATGTTATCAGGTCACAGAAATGTCAGGACAATGGTCACAGATTTGTCAGGTCACAGAGATGTTATCAGGTCACAGAAATGTCAGGACAGTAGTCACAGCACAGCAGTCACAGAGTTGTCAGATCACAGAGTTGTCAGGTCCCAAAGTTATTGTCCAGTCACAGAGTTGTCAGACTAGTGGAACAGAGTTGTCAGGTCCCAAAATTGTCAGGACAGTTTTCACAGAGTTGTCAGGTCACAGAGATGTTATCAGGTCACAGAAATGTCAGGACAGTGGTCACAGAGATGTCAGGTCACAGAGTTGTCAGGACAGTGGTCACAGAGATGTTATCAGGTCACAGAGTTGTCAGGACAGTGGTCACAGTGTTGTCAGGTAACAAAGAGGTCAAGTAACAGAGAGGTCAGATCACAGATTTGTCAGGTCACAGAGTTGTCAGGACAGTGGTCACAGAGTTGTCAGGACAGTAGTCACAGAGTTGTCAGGACAGTGGGCACAGAGTTGTCAGGTCACAGAGATGTTATCAGGTCACAGAAATGTCAGGCCAGTGGTCACAGAGATGTCAGGTCACAGAGTTGTCAGGACAGCGGTCACAGTGTTGTCAGGTAACAAAGAGGCCAAGTAACAGAGAGGTCAGATCACAGATTTGTCAGATCACAGAGTTGTCAGGACAGTGGTCGCAGAGTTGTCAGGACAGTGGTCACAGATTTGTCAGGACAGTGGTCACAGAGTTGTCAGGTCACATAGTTGTCAGGACAGTAGTCACAGAGTTGCCAGGACAGTAGTCACAGAGGTGTCAGGACAATGGTCACAGAGTTATGAGGTCCCAGAGTTGTCAGGACAATGGTCACAGAGATGTCAGGACAGTAGTCACAGAGGTGTCAGGACAATGGGCACAGAGTTGTCAGGACAGTAGTCACAGAGTTGTCAGGACAATGTTCACAGAGTTATCAGGTCCCAAAGTTGTCAGGACAGTGGTCACAGAGGTGTCCGGTCACAGAGATGTTATCAGGTCACAGAAATGTCAGGACAGTGGTCACAGAGATGTCAGGACAGTGGTCACAGTGTTGTCAGGTAACGAAGAGGTCAAGTAACAGAGAGGTCAGATCACAGATTTGTCAGATCACAGAGTTGTCAGGACAGTGGTCGCAGAGTTGTCAGGACAGTGGTCACAGCGTTGTCAGGACAGTGGTCACAGAGTTATCAGGTCCCAAAGTTGTCAGGACAATGGTCACAGAGTTATGAGGTCCCAGAGTTGTCAGGACAATGGTCACAGAGTTATCAGGTCCCAAAGTTGTCAGGACAGTGGTCACAGAGTTGTCAGGTCACAGAGTTGTTAGGACAGTGGTCACAGAGATGTTAGGACAGTGGTCACAGAGATGTTAGGACAGTGGTCACAAGGATGTCAGGTCACAGAGATATTGTCACCTTACAGAGTTGTTGTCAGAAACAAAGATATTGAATACGATATTGCCATGAAGAGGGTCACAATTAATTATGTTTGACAGGAAGAGGGCCTCAAAAATGTTGTCAGTTTACGATGATGATGGTGATGATGTAAGAAATGGGTCACAAAACTGCTGTCAGAAAGTGTGTGTGATTGTAATTGTGGAAGTGGGGAGGAAGGGGTGGGTAAAGAGATGTTACTGAACCAAAAAGTCCATTTGATTGGAAGACTTACTTAGAAAGCCTGGTCACTTGCTGTCCACCAGCCAGACCTGTACTTACTGACTGCTGCCATACAAAGTCATGTTTTATTGATTACAAGTGAGGACCTAGCTTTTAGCAAGGAAAATCCTGGTGTCCTGACACACTCAATTGTCACCTCTGGTCCAATCAAGTGGAGTGATGCTGGGGCATATTGACCTGGAACATGTGAACCAGAGTCTGCTAAGTCATGTTAGCATCATTCCCTAAATAATGTTCATTATTATGAAAATTAATGGACATTTTCAAGGTTCTTGTACAAAGAAAAACATTTTAAATCCAAACATGCATGCACAGAATAAATTTTTTATTTGCAGAGTTGTTGAAATTTTCTCCGTAGTGAATTTGTTTTTTGACAGTATAAGCTGAGCAACCTCGGCCTGTATAGGGTTGTAGAACCAGCATTATGTCTCAGCTATGCCAATACTCCACAGGGAGGCTGGCTGCTAACATTCTCCTTTAAATATTTTTCTTGAAAATCCAACGTAACATCCTCTACACCATAAGCTCGGGCTTGGCCCTGGCTGTGTGGGAAACAATTAGATTGTCATATTTGGATAATTTGATGTCAAAGACTCATATACGCTTTCCCCGCTTTGGGAGGAAGACAGAAAAAGCTCTTCACTCTCTGAGTAGGATTCCTTAATTAGTGTCTAGCCCGAGGCTTTAACATTCTGTCCTTGTATGCAATTTTGTTTTCAAACAAAATATCTGGATTATGAAAAAATTCAGTGGTATATTTGCAGCAATACAGATCTGTTTTAGGATCCCTGTCCCGCTGCACTGCGACTTTTCTATATAAATGCAGTAACGTCCCCTTAACTTCCGTTTGAATGTAACTGTAGAACAAGTTGGACCAAGACACTTCTGTTGACCTGGGTACCCGGCCTAGCCCCACTGAACTTTTACACTCAAAACACTTTTATTGATTGTATTTTATTCATTTCATCTTAAACATTTCTTCCATAGAAGTCCTGCAAGGTATCCCTTTTCTTTTCAGAAGTAAATTATCAAAGCTATAATCATGCTGACTCACAGTTTCTAATGCGTAGTAACGTGTTTTTGTTAGTGGTACGGGGATCCTTAAGGGAAGTGGTACTGATGCTGTGTGAGTTTTCTGGGGAACGTGTATCAAAAATAAACACATTCTAGAGGTTAAGACCAACACACTTGTTAGATACGACAGAGACAACGATCTGAACATGGTATTTATAGGAACAAGACGTTGGTATAAGAAGTACAGAAATTGATGTGCCAAGTATGCGTAACCTCTGGGATGTTTGTGTAAAAAAAACAGGGAAGTACACAAGATTTGTCAAGTAGTATTTACATCATTGTTACTTGTCTACTGTGTTCGTCACCAACTGGTGCAAAGTGGGCAGAGTGGATCAGTGGTCAATCTATTGACCTTCCCGACACACAGCATGGGTGTACAGTGTGAGAGTTCGTTCAAGTTTCAGGGGAATCGTTCATCTCCTTATCCCAGGATCACAAAACATCTTAAGGATCCCTGTCCCACTGCACTGTGTTTTTTATATGCCCGTCGCCCATGGTATGGGCTGCCTTGTCAAATGTCCGTCCATTAACTTTTCCTTGTCATCGCTCTCCTGCCTTCATTCATCAACACATCTTGATGAAACTTATATGTACACATATTGCATACCAATATAACTCAAACAAGTTCGCATTTCAGAAGTGTTCATGCATTTTTGGTGGAGTTATGCCCCTTTTATTGCCAAATAAGGGCATTGTGTAGTAAATGCAAGAACTCTTCTATTTTTTAATCAATTCCTTTCAAATTTTGTACTGTAATGCTAGAAGCAATAATGTTCAACATATATTACAATTTTTTCTGTCGAGATTCAACTTTCCGTGTTTTGGCGTATCACACTTAACTTTTGCTTGTTTACGCGATAACTCAAACAATTGTTCCATTTTATTCCATTCAAGGAGGTGTCCAAATGTTGAACCTTGAAATACAATTATACAATTGGTACCTAAAGTGGATTCATAGCATACATACGTACTCAGATACAACTTATTCGGAATTTAAAGTCTTCATATTATAGCAAGCATTAGGTTCCATTTTTCGGTGAAGCTGAAAAATATGTCAACATTAATATTAAAATCAGGGCTTCATCAGTTGTTATGTACATATACCTACGCAAACTGTTAAACACTTGTGATCATTGATTCAGGTTTTTACGGGTTAGTGTGATAAAATGGTAGATTTTATTTCCTTGAATACTCAAACTTCATCTCATGAAATTCTCCCATTCCTTATTGAATATCCTTCCAACCCTAATTTAGATAATGAAATAGTCTCAATCAATGAGCCGTTCTGTTGATTCCACATTGCAGAGTAGTGGTTCAAAACGTGATCAAGCTTTCACGTTACACAGTTATAGTTTGTACTGGCAGAAGAGTGTTTGTTTGCAGAAGCTTTGAACCTTCTTTATTGGGTAATGAGAACATTTTGTCATGTTAGCCTAAAGGCAGATGTTGATAACAGACTCACATTGCTTCAGTGAAAAAAATTGTTGTTCTCTTTGCATAGGAGGCTGAACCTTTTATATTGTAAAAAAACTGCTACGTTTTCTCATAATCAGGTGAATTTTCTCTTTTTTCATTAAAAACTAAACTTTTATATAATGGTTATCACTTTCATTTTGAAAGAAAAATGTTTCTGCCTCATTTTACAGGGGGATACTTTCTATATTAGCATGTATGTTTGTAATTCACAAATATTTATGCTAATGCATTAAACTTTATGAATGTATATAAGTATACACGTAGAAACCTGCATAACCTGTAAGTATTTCTGTTCCGAACAGAAAAACTGTCGTGTACCTTAATACTTGTCTTAATCAATAAAATATATCTTTGATGTTAAATTTCTTTAATTTTATTTTTATTTTAGACAAAGATCTCGATGACTACGATTTTGTATATCCAAGGCCTGAACAAGCTGAAGGCGACAACGAGGACGATATGAATGGTCATGTACAGTATCGGGGCCTGCCTCCCCCTCCTCATGGGGATTTCATCTGTGATTCAGGAAACCCGCCTCCCTGTCCAAGGGACCTGTACTCACAATCACAGATCTATGACACAATACCAGCCAATCAGGTAAATATACCTCCCCTCCCTGTCATAGAGACTTTTACCTCCCCTCCCTGTCATAGAGACTTTTACCTCCCCTCCCTATCATAGAGACTTTTACTTCCCCTCCCTGTCATAGAGACTTTTACCTCCCCTCCCTGTCATAGAGACTTTAACCTCCCCTCCCTGTCATAGAGACTTTTACCTCCCCTCCCTNGTCCCTGTGATGATATTTGGCCAGTAGGTACCTGTCATGAAGTGCTATAAACTTTCCTCAAATAAATGAATTCAACCAACTTTCAAGATCACAGGGGTCAAATGTGCTAAAAACCTTTAAACAACTTCTTCTTAATAACCATGAGGCCCAGGGTGATGATATTTGGCAAGTAGTTACCTGGGATGAAGTGCTATAAAGTCTCCTCAATAAATGACCTTGACCTTCTTTCAATGTCACAGGTGTCAAATGTGTGAAAACCTTTAAAACAACTTCGTTTGGATAACCAGGAGGCCCAGGGTGATGATATTTGACCAGTAGTTACCTGGGTTGTAGTGCTATGATGTTTCATCAACTGGATGACCTTGACAGTGGTTGAAGGTCACATGGTTCAAATTTGTTAAAACCTTTGAGTGACTTCGTCTAAATAAATAAGACACATATGGTGATGATACTTGGCCAGTAGGTATCTGGGACGGGGTGCTATAAGCTTTTCCCAAATGAATGACCTTGACCTACTTTCAAGGTCACTGGCATCAAATATATAAAAACCTGTAAGCAACTTCATCTGAATAACCAGGAGGCCCTGGATGATGATATTTGACCAGTATTATGCTGGGATAAAGTAGTATAAAATTTCATTTAGTCTGGAACACTTTTAAGCTAAGGAGGCCCAATATATGGAAAAATTGCAATATTACTTTTTTTGAGAACATTTGTCCATGATTACTCAAATATCCAGGTGAGCGATACAGGCCCTCTTGGCCTATTGTCATGCAGTGGTTAATATTATTGTAAGATGGAGGGTCTTAGTGTTGTGTGTTTTGTGTGCATCGCCAACGAAGAAGAGACCAACTTCTTTAGCACTTTTCTATTTGGTGTTTCTTTCCCATTTACTAAAGCTAATAATGAAATTTGAAATCAATGTCTTGTATTTGATCTAAATAGTGCACCATGTCCATATAACTGGCCAAAACTGACCATGTCCATATAACTGGCCAAAACTGACCATGTCAATATAACTGGCAAAAACCAGCCTCCCCGACTTGTTTACAGTTGTCTGGTTATCGCTACAGAAGTGAGTCATATGTATCGGCAGTTTTAAATTTCAAAATGCTCTTACTCCCTAAAAAAAGGCCCACTACCTATTATTACCTCTGTATAGATATAGAGAAATTTACATTTAGAATTTACATATATAAAGAGAGAAAACTACATAAATTTAACTGGAAAATAACTCTTTACCGTCAACAGTTAACACTTAAATAGTCAAGGCTAAAAGAGTTACCCCCCTTTACTCATCACAAACAATTGCTTATGCTCAACGGTAAAACAATTGCTGAAGATTTTCTGATACTCAAGTTTATTAGAGATTTATCGGAGGTTCCCTGTTGTAATTACTGTGTTTATTTGTCCTTTTGTCTGTCTGTCTGTCTGTCCATCCATCCACACTTACACAACAGTGAACAATTTGCTGAAGTAATGATTTTTAGGGCCAGGTGAGCTGATGCCGTACTGCGGCATCCGTCGTCTGTTGTCCGTCAACTTTTTCTTTTGAACCACTTAAGATCATATACAAATGTAGGAGATGGAGTGACTTTCATGTCATTTTGACATATTTCTAGTTTTTCTTAATAACATTAATGATGTCAAAGGTCAACTTTAAGTGCTACCCGGAGTCAAAGGTCAACATGGGTTAAAAGCTTTAACAATCTTCTTCTCATGTTCCATAATGCCCAGGGTCATGATATTTGGCCAGTAGGTACCTGGTTTGGAGTGCTATGAAGTGTTATCATTAAAATGACCTTGACCTAATTTCAAGGTCACAGGGGTCAAATATGTTAAAAACTTCAAACAACAATATCCTAAGAACCATTTGGACTAGAGTCATGGTACTTGGGTATGTTATGTAGACCAGAAGTTTTAACCTTTTTCTTTATTACAGTAATGAGGTCAAAGATCAACTTTCAGTGCTAGCCGTAGTCAAATGTCAGCGTGGGTTAAAAGCTTTTAATTAAAGATTCAAATTTCAAATTTCAAACAACAATATCTTAAGAACCGTTTAAAAGATGTTAAAATGTCTTGTGTTCTAGTTACCAAATTTCATCTGAAGTAACCTATAGGTCAGTTTCATGTAACGTAAGAAACAGGTGAGCAATACAGCCCCTCTGGGCCTCTTGTCTTATACACTTTTGTTTTCCCTACATTATCTCACAATCCAAAAGACTAATCTTTCTGAAATTTGATGTGGGGATACAGAGTGATATGAAGATGTGTAATAGGTGTTTAAAAAGTTTCTTTTAAGGTCAAGGTCACTGTTACAGTACATTTCACCTAATATCACGTCTGTTAATGTCACTTTTCGGTTATTATCATGTTTTTTTGATGCACCGTTTTTCCTGCTATATAATCTATGCAATTCAATTCTTTTATTATCACCTGATTTTATGTTGATTTCTCTTAATATCACTTTATTTTGGCCACTGCCACAAAAAAAATACAGGTAAATGATGGTAATGATTCATGATAAATGCCCTGGGGACCTTCTTTCACACCCTGGACGCATTATGTAAACAATGCCTTGACCTAACAGGGTATTTTTTACACCTGGCTGACTGTCAAAAAATAGGTTACACCTGGCTGACTGTTAAACAATAGGTTGACTTACATACTTGTTAACATGATATTCACCTGTGGGTGGGGAGCTACTGAGCAGTCTAACATCTGTAAACTTTTCTAATGCCAAGTGTGATGTATTCTTTCAACTAATTATAACATGTGTACTATCTTCGATTACACACTTGCAGCAAATATCTAAGGAAATTAACCCATAAAAAGATGTTACTAGAGAAAGAACATTATAAATATCAAGATATAGGTAAATATTTACCAAGTCTCATGTTTACAATTGAATTTGATGCAGAATACCAGCCAAACACTTGTATGCCTACATCACTACTGCAGTAAACAATCATAATTACAAACGTACTGATCGTCATTTTGCTACTTAACAATATGAAATGTAACTGCGTACTGAAATGAAATACAAATAATAAATTTATTTCTCTACTTATATCTATATTTCAACTAGGGTATAGAACAAGGTTAGTTACAAAATATCAATCTTCTTCGTAGAGCCAAATCACTTAGGCATTTGACTAAGTTCCCTTCCGGTTTTGAGGGTTAAAAAACATCAGAAAATATGTATTCTGTTTATGTCATGTTTCGGTTAATATCATGTTTTTCTCTGACAAATGAGAAGTGATATTAAGAGGAATCTACTGTACTAACAATATACAATTTGTGGTTGATATTAAAGGGGGAGTATGGGAGTCAGAGACGCACTGTCCCAGCGCCGGCACCACCAAGGCGGAGTCCTAGTACGCGACTAAGTACTGGCAGCAGGGTGAGTACTAAGACATTATATAAAGACAAACAACATGATTAGCATTCCTAATAATGAATGAAAGAAAATACTGTATACTGGGGAAAAAAACAGTAAAATTAACACCCTACGACATCCAAATTCACCAAATATTAAATTTGCTCTTCTCATTTAATTTCTATGTATATTATGTTGTTTACTAGTGTTTGGTGTGCTGTAATGATAAATTTGCACTCATTACAGAGGATGAAAAGGTGAACATTTCCCTGGTATGCAGTACTGTCAGCTTCTCTGCAGCACTGTGACAAATCAGATTACTGAAATGTTTTATTTCGTTCAGCTTATTTTAAAAACATACATTATTTGGATTAAATTATATATATAAAAAACACCTATTGGTGTTTGAATTTGGTAAGAGGACACTCCGTTGAAAAATCTGATATCAAAATTGCTCATCCAACAAACTCCATAGGAAGGCTGGTAGTAGCAGCTTCAATGCACAACAATAGGTGTTGGACCTATGAACAAGATCTCGTGAAATTAATTAACAAATAACAACCAGTTTGATAGCCTTTTAAAACCCAAAGAAAAAAGCAAAAGTAGAATAGAGTTTCACTGATACCTCAGTAATTTTTTCGTTCCCTTTGTTGTGTGGTTACAGACCTCCTCTTCCTCGAGTGGGATTTACGATGATACAGCGCTGTACATGGACGACGGCCATCACAGTCCCCAGCATCAGCCACAGCCACCCCACCCACCAATCAACATCCCACCCCTGCAGATGTCGCCCCGGTTACAAAAGAAAATGGTGGCCAGTCCCTTGGTCAGTCCTCGTAGTCCAAGCCATCAGAACCCAAACAAGCCGTTCTCTTACATAGTGAATCTGCCAGGGTCACCGAAAACTCACCGTAGGTCAAGTGATGGAAAGTATTACGATGTTCCCGATGTGTCACCACCTGGCGATCCTACATATGAGCCAATCGGACAACCTCATCCATATTCACTGGTCGAAAAGCATAAGGCTACAAGTAGTGGGCAGTATGGTGCTCCAGCTTCACCGGGTCACCAAAGTCCAAGCGTTTACAGTCAAGGTCATCCCGCGACTCCTGCATCACCAGGTCACCAAAGTCAAGGTTACTACGGCCAAAGTCAAGGACATCCTGCCAGCAATGGTGGTCAGTATGGTGCTCCAGCATCACCAGGTCATCAAGGTCAAGGCTATTATGGACAAGGTCAAGGACATACACACACACCCCAAGGTCAACACCATGGACAGCTGCCAGCTATGCAACAGCCCCAATATTCACCTTCACACAGAACTGCATCGCCTCCTCCATTGCCAAAAGTTGGCCCGGGGTCAGCCCCACATAGCCCAAGCTTACAGAGACAATCTTCTCTCACGAGAAAAAATGAAAAGGTGTCTTCCCCAGTAATGCCACGCAAATCAGCAGACCCACGGGTTGTTACCCCGGACCCTGGTGCTATGTCTGAAAGTCAAAGGTCTGGGCTTGGCCCGCCCAGCTTCCCTGCTCCACCTCCTCCATTACCTGTGGCAGCACGGTTTGTGGCGGCAACTTTGGAAAATAATCGTCCGCCTTCCCCACCGTTACCCCCACCCCCTCCAGAAATGATATCAGATTCCTCTCCACATAACACACCACACAAAGTTCCCCCACCCGTTGTTCCAACCACAGTTCCCAAAGTGGCAAACCCACCCCCACCTCCACCTCCACCAATATCAAAGATTCCTGGAAGACCCCAAATTTCTTCTTTTGAAATTGGGAAAAAACAATCCAAAGGAGATGACTCACACGACCAAGGCAATAAGAAGCAGCATACGATGCCTCTCCCTGGTCAGGCGGCCGTTATCAGACCGAAACAACAGAAACAGCAGCAGTTACAGAGCAAGAACCTTGTTGAGGAGCTCAGCAAGGTTACTTTACGAACGGTTCAGCAGACAAGTGTTCAACAACCTGAACCACAGCCAGTCCTAGAGGAACCGAGGGTTAAACCCTCTCCACCCAAACCTCCAGGTAAGACAGGTCTCAAGTCCTAGAGGAAACTACGGTCAAGCCCTCCCCACCTAAACCCCCAGGTAAGTCAGACCTCCAGTCATAGAGGAACCAAGTGTTAAACCCTCCCCACCCAAACCTCCAGGTAAGACAGGTCTCCAGTCGTAGAGGAAACTACGATCAAACCCTCCCCACCCAAACCTCCAGGAAAGACAGGTCTCCAGTCGTAGAGGAAACTACGGTCAAACCCTCCCCACCCAAACCTCCAGGTAAGTCGAGCCTCCAGTCGGAGAGGAAACTAGGGTCAAACCCTCCCCACCCAAACCTCTAGGTAAGTTTGATTTCCAGTCCTAGAGGAACCTAGGGTCAGACCCGCCCTTCCCAAACCTTGAAGTAAGTGAAGCCTTTAGTCCTAGAGGCTACTAAGGTAAACCTTTCCCTACCCAAACCTCCAGGTAAACCTGTGGGTGTTTAGTATGAGATGGCCCTGGTGTCAAACCAGCCTCACCCAAACCTTTTAGTAAATGGTGTCTCTGGTCTAAGTTGAATATATGTACTGGGCCTTGTATCCTTGCCTACCCAAAACTCTAAGTTACTTGCTTTAGTCCTACAGGAACCAATGCTGAAGGCATGTCTACCAACACCTATAGGTAAATTATAGGTCGCCAGACCAGGGCCAAATACCATCCCCCGAAACCTCTTGGTGTTTAATACTGTTCAATCAGATATTTTCGTGGGGCCAAAACTTTGTGGTTTACCAACAAAACAGCATTTCTTGGGTACATGAATTCATGGATACGGAGTACACACTCAAACGGAGAATTGCTTTATATGAAACTTGTAATTACTTTGGGAACCTATGCATTCGTGGATGAAGACTACCTACCAAATCAACAAAAAATTAAATTTAAAAAAAAAAAAAAGGAACATGAAAATTAGTGATTTAACAGTAAGTCTCCATTCTTAGAGAAATCCAAGGCCAAACCCTCTTCCTTCCAACACTTCAGACATATCTGTAGCCCAGCATAATCACAACCAGGATTATAGTCATACAAAATAAGGCAAGCTAGGCAATGCCTTGTTTAGGTATATATTGATAGGACCATTTTCCACTCATTTCACTGGCTGTACTTTTACAGAAAAGACAAACCCTCCATCAGGAAAGGAGGCAGAACCTGCTGCAGTATTTTTACCCAAATTGAAATCAACAGGTGCCAAGCCATGGGACAAAGGTAAGCATGCAACAGCAGCAAGTCATATACTGTATACCGGTCAAACTTTCGCCCAGTCAAACTTTCGCCCGGTCAAACTTTCGCCCGGTCAAACTTTCGCCCAGTCAAACTTTCGCCCAGTCAAACTTTCGCCCTTCGCCTGTGAAATCCAAACTCGCTCAGTGTTAATTTCGACTCTCACATTTTATTAATATGTAAATTATGTTGCTGACTAGTGTTTACTGTAATGATAAATTTGCTCTCATTCCAGAGGGCGTAAAAGGCAAAAATTAACTGCACCGAAAATTTCCCAGTATACAGTATACATATATATATTGGTGTTGGGTTTCTTTGAGTTATAGCTCCTGTTTCTACTAGTATAGACTTAACAAGATTAATTATATTTACTTAACTTTGCAATCATTTTACTAACAATTGTTATTATTATAAATAATTTCTTTGCTTTTAATACAGAATGCCTGGTTATATATATTCATTAAAATTCGTGTGTTTTCCTTTCAAAGCTTTGTTTTAAGCATGCTTTGTTAATATCCTTGACTCGTGTAAAGTTATCGTAACAGCTTATGATCATGCTTAGGACATGTGACTATTTTGATGAGATGAATCTTTCTCATTAAAATATCTGATGTCTTTGAAAGTGTCATTCTCATTTACACTAAAAGAATAATATTTATTAAGACTTTGTATTATGTGAATATATTCGGATTTGCTGTCTCCTCCACTGATAACAGATGTGCCCACAGGTCAGAACGTGCCACACCCACAAATGGAAGATGACGACCTCCCCCCTCCTCCGCCACCACCCATGGATGATGACTTCCTGCCCCCTCCTCCCCCACCCCCAGGGATCACCCCAAACATGGAGCTTTACCAGACTGGGGGTCAACAGAGATACAAAAAAGACTCGAGTCCTGATCCAGAGCGAAAACCAGACTCTGGCATAGGTAAACTTTGTTGTTTAGGGTGTCAAAGGTCAATGTCAAGGTCATTTGCGTTGAATGCTGTTGATGACATCCGTAGCCAGTATTGGAGTCTAGGACACTTTGTACTTTATGAATCAACTGTGCATCGGAGGAAAAGTGAAACTGAAGTGCACTAAAAATACATTGCAGAAAATTACACTTTCTGTCCGTAATCCACACAGCAGGTCCCATATCATGCTAGACTATCATTATTTTGTGTAAATCCTGAAAAACAGTATGATCATTAATGAAATCATTGATGTTTGTACCTCTAGTCTAGGTACCATTAATGTTTGTACCTCTAGTCTAGGTACCATTAATGTTGTACCTCTAGTCTAGGTACAATTAATGTTTGTACCTCTAGTCTAGGTACCATTATTGTTTGTACCTCTTGTCTAGGTACCATTAATGTTGTACCTCTGGTCTAGGTACCATTAATGTTTGTACCTCTAGTCTAGGGACCATTACTGTTTGTACCTCTAGTCTAGGTACAATGAATGTTTGTACCTCTAGTCTAGGTACCATTAATGTTTGTACCTCTTGTCTAGGTACCATTAATGTTGTACCTCTAGTCTAGGTACCATTAATGTTTGTACCTCTAGTCTAGGTACCATTAATGCTTGTAACTCTAATCTAGGTACTGTTAATTCTTATAACTCTAATCTTGGTACCATTCATGCTTGTAACTCTTGTCTAGGTTTTATTAATGCTTGTGGGCCTGGATATCTGTTTTACTAACTTCATCTCACTAACTTCAGTTTTAAGTTTATTAGTATTGTTGTATATGAGATTGCAATTTGGATGTGTATAATTAAGTGCTTAGAGATTAACCTGTACATTGCGACACCCTTTGGATCATAATTTATGGTCAGATTAGACAGGATGTTAGAACTCACAGCTAGGAGTCAGATTAGACAGGTTTAATCTATTTTATTTCAGGTGAAATAACTTTCATTATTTTCAAGAATATAGAGTGTATCAGAATGTATAATTACTCTCACTCACCATTCATTTGAATTGCTACAACTGTTGGCCCCTAGGGAAGACAACTGGAACTTTCTTGGGAAAGTCTTGGGATCATACACTAACTACAAATAAGATACCAGCTTTAAGATTCAAGGGAGGTAACTCAAATTGTTTTGACCTCCTTTGTGGGAAAGAATCTGTAAAACATTGCATTTTCAGTTTTGACGTTGGGTAGGAAGGGAAGTAACTCTGTATGCTTTATTGATTTAATAAAAATTAGACTGTTTAAGAAGATTGCATTAAAAATGATCACGAAAATTATCCAGTTGACATTGAAAATCAAATTGTTGCCAAAGTGTTCTGATTTGGTACTTTAGGTACCGGGTGAGATTTTAGAGTTCTTGTTAGAAATTTTGGAGTGTACATGTTTCTGTTCATTTGAAATTTTAAAAGTCCCATTCAGTCAAAATATATACATACATTTCAAAACAGGAGGTCAGAGGAAAACAGGTTTTAAAATATATATGTTTTAAATTTGTAGTAAAGCAAGGAAAATCAATTATAGTTGAAACAGGGTCAAGAGTGTTTTTAGCTCAACTGTAAATCCCATTCAGTCAAAATATATACATACATTTCAAAACAGGAGGTCAGAGGAAAACAGGTTTTTAAATATATGTGTTTTTAATTTGTAGTAAAGCAAGGAAAATCAATTATAGTTGAAACAGGGTCAAGAATGTTTTTAGCTCAACTGGCCCAAAGGGCCAAGTGAGCTTATGCCATGGTGCGGCATCCGTCGTCTATTGACCGTCTGTCCGTCGTCAACTTTTTACTTAAACAACTTCTTCTGAATAACCAGAAGCCCAGGATGATGATATTTGGCCAATATCATGCTGGGATGAAGCACTACCAAGTTTGTTCAAATGAATGACCTTCGCCTATATTCAGGGTCACAGGGGTCAAATATGTTGAAATCTTTAAATAACTTCTTCTGAATAACCAGAAGGCCCAGGATGATGATATTTGGCCAATATCATGCTGGGATGAAGCACTACCAAGTTTGTTCAAATGAATGACCTTCGCCTATATTCAGGGTCACAGGGGTCAAATATGTTGAAATCTTTAAATAACTTCTTCTGAATAACCAGAAGGCCCAGGATGATGATATTTGGCCAATATCATGCTGGGATGAAGCACTACCAAGTTTGTTCAAATGAATGACCTTCGCCTATATTCAGGGTCACAGGGGTCAAATATGTTGAAATCTTTAAATAACTTCTTCTGAATAACCAGGAAGCCCAGGATGATGATATTTGGCCAATATCATGCTGGGATGAAGCACTACCAAGTTTGTTCAAATGAATGACCTTCGCCTATATTCAGGGTCACAGGGGTCAAATATGTTGAAATCTTTAAATAACTTCTTCTGAATAACCAGAAGGCCCAGGATGATGATATTTGGCCAATATCATGCTGGGATGAAGCACTACCAAGTTTGTTCAAATGAATGACCTTCGCCTATATTCAGGGTCACAGGGGTCAAATATGTTGAAATCTTTAAACAACTTCTTCTGAATAACCAGAAGGCCCAGGATGATGATATTTGGCCAGTAGCATGAAGGGATGAATGGCTACAAAGTTTGTTCAAATGAATGACCTTCCCCTATATTCAAGGTCACAGGGGTCAAATATGTTTAAACTTTTGAACAATTTCTTCTAAATAACCAAAATGTCTAGGGTGTTGATATTTGGCCAGTAGCATGCTTGTATAAAGGGCTACCAAGTTTGTTCAAGCAAATGACCTTCACTTATATTCAAGGTCAAAGGGTTCACTTGTCTTAAAAAACTTTAAACGACTTCTGTTGTATAACCACGATGATGATATTTGGCCAGAAGGATGTTGACATGAAGGGCTACGAAGTTTGTTCAACTTAATGACTTTCGCCCATATTCAAGGTCACAGGGGTCAAATATATTGAAATCTTTAAACAACTTCTTCTGAATTGACCTTGACACACTTTCATGGTCACATCTGGTCCATAGTGCATAAATCTTTAAAAGTCATCTTTTCATATAAACAAAAGGTATAAGGTGGTGATGTTTGGCAAGTTGCATTCTGAGAGGAAGGGCTATGAAGTTTGTTCAACTTTAAATGTCCTTGTTTGACTTTCAAAGTCACAGGGGTCAAATGTGTTTTAATCGTTTAACAGGTTCTTCTGAAGTCAAGACACTGATATTTTGCCTGTAGCTTTTTTTAGTCCACTTTTAAGGTTACAATTGGNTACCACCAACTTCCACCCCACCACCCACTACCACCCCATGCCCACCCCAACACCTGTAGACACTGTATTACAGTAGACCAAAAGTACATGTGTAACACTGTTGGACTGATTATGTTGATTGCTATGTAGTCAAACAAGATTTACGAGCTCATTTAAGACCTGTCTTGAATTGTCTATTATCTGTCTGGTGTAAGCTTCAGTGACTGCGGTGGGAATTTTTGATTGGGGAGGGGGCCATGTGGTCAAGAGAGAATGATTGGCTGATGACTGAGGCGAGTGGCCACCTGGAGGGACTGTTTATTTGACCACTAGTGTTTTCAGTACCACTGACCTACTGTTGTAGGAAACAGTGTTATTAGATCTGTCCCAGTGGCTGTTATACTAAATCACCGTATTTTGTGGGGGGGGGGATTCACAATATTGTTGATATCACTTGAAGTACTACTTTCCACATCCGTGTAATATTTGGTATATAGAGTAGCTCACTATATCACACTGTTAGGTAGGTGTATTCTAGCTGACAGTCAGTCTCAGTACTAGTGTGGTACATGGTAGATGGTTGTAGTTTGGGTTGTTTTGTTTGTGTTTTAACCCATACGCCCCTAAAGTCACATTTGAACCTTAACAAACCAAGGACTGGGAAAGTTCAGTTTAAATGTGTAAGGGTGAATGAGTTAGGTCCTATTAACAGCTATGGTCATTTAAGGACATGCCAGGTTTGGTGGTGGAGGAAAGTTGCGGGTCAGTACCTAACCTGGCGACTGCCCGCAATAGACCTCAAACCCCCACGACCCAGTGGTAAAGGGCTAGTGGTCCAGATCACTTGGTCACCATGACCCCAGATGGCTGAAGTAATCATGATGATAAGAAAGTATAATTTCAAAAAGTATATTTCAAGAAACTGTAATGATTTACTGATTGAAACTATTTCTCTGCGTTTTCAAATGTTTGAAGAGGTTTTCGATAAGATCCGACAACTGGACAACAAAAGGGTTTTCCTTCCTGGTTCTTCTGAGGTTCAATGCCAGGATAATGAATGCTCCCATCTCGTGTCTGTTTTAGATAATAGCTGCTCCCTTCCTTCATCTGCAGTGACTCAGGGTGTAACATTAGACAGAAGAGGAAGATAAAAATTACTTATCTTCTAAATTTAGCCTCCGTGCTAGGCTTTTTACAGCAAGTGAAAACTCAAGTGTATATTGCAGTAACTAAAATTAGTTTCCACCTGTGTTGGGTCTTGGTGAAGGCGAGGCATGTGGAAATGTAGACATTATGATGAGGAAACCAAAAAATGAATTATCCAGAGTACTTGACAGGGTGACTAAAATGTCTGTATAACGTTATGTTGTCAGGAAAAAAGGCTTGGTTCAAATGGTGCGGTGAGGAAATGTAGAACACGATTTTATTTTCTGCTCCACTTCCTGTTGTAGTAAAAATGAAGGAAAAAATGTGTGTCTGCTTTCACCCACTTTCTTTTTTTTTATCCTCTGCTACTGTTCCTACTCCTGTACTTTTCTACTTCCTCTCTTTCTTTGTCCCTCTTCTTCTCTTCCTTTATCCCTCCTCCTCTCTTATTCCTTTTTATCCACTTCCTTGTTTTCTTTTTCTCTCTTTTCTTTTCTTTTACTCCTCTCCTTCTCATCTCTTCACTCTCCTTCTTTCCATCTTCCCTTCCCCTATTTCGTTCTTCCTCTCTTTTTTCTCCTCTGATATTGTTAGACAGAATAAGCCAAGGAA